GCCTGGCAGAAAAGGACCTGGGGGTGCTGGCTGACAGCCGGCTGAATATGAGCCGGCAGTGTGCCCAGGTGGCCAAGAAGGCCAACAGCATCCTGGCCTGTATCAGAAATAGTGTGACCAGCAGGAGTAGGGAAGTGATCGTGCCCCTGTATTCGGCACAATCAAGTGAGGCCGCAGCTTGAATCCTGTGTTCAGTTTTGGGCCCCTCACTACAAGAAGGACGTTGAGGTGCTGGAGCGTGTCCAGAGAAGAGCAATGAAGCTGGTGAGGAGTCTGGAGCACAAGTCTTATGAGGAGCAGCTGAGGGAACTGGGGTTGTTCAGTCTGGAGAAGAGGAGGCTGAGGGGAGACCTTATCGCTCTCTACAATTACCTGAAAGGAGGTTCTAGTGAGGTGGGTGTTGGTCTCTTCTCCCAAGTAACTAGCAATAGGACGAGAGGAAATGACCTCAATTTGCACTAGAAGAGGTTTAGATTAGATATTAGGAAAAATTTCTTTTCTGAAAGAGTGGTCAAGCACTGGAACAGGCTGCCCAGGGAGGGGGTGGAGTCACCATCAATGCAAGTGTTCAAAAAAAATGTAGATATGGCACTTCGGGACATGGTTTAGTGGGTGTGATGGTGTTGGATTGACAGTTGGGCTTGATGATCTTAAAAGTCTTTTCCAACTTCAATGATTCTATGTTTATAATTCAGATTTGACATATACAATCATTTCACTTGTGTTGCCAAGAAAAACCAAAGAAGTTATGTACATAGAGACCTGCAGTCGGCTGCATCAGTCAGTTGTCTTCTGCAACATGGAGTCATGGTTGAGTACCCACCCAGGAAGCAAGAAGCGCTCAGTCTGGAAGATCATCAATACTTATCCCATGTTCTAGAAGGGTTCGCTAACCCTAGTCATGGTGTGCTGAGGCCATTTTCCAGTTTTTGATTGAACTGAGCCAACTGTTCTGCTAGAGATGAAGTTAAGTATAGGCAAAAAAGAACGGCAAGCAAGAGGAAACCTACTGGTTACTGAACTCCGCAGATCATTGGATTCTGGGCCTTACTCCCACGGCTAGTTTTTGCTTGTATCCAGTGATGATCCGATGCTGAATCACTGGTGTCTACAGAGCTTCTTCTAGAACCAGCTTTCTGTCCTCAACCAGCTGAAGGCTGCCTGCTTTTAATATTACTGTATTGTTATTCTTGTGACTTCAGCACTGAAGTTGCAGAGTGGTGAAACTTCACCAGCAGCAACAGAGAAAACAGGATGCAATGGGATCTGATAGGTAGCACACCCAGGGCAGGGCTCAGTTAACCTCAAGCTGAGTAAAGTCCTAAGTCCCAGCCTTTGGACTGATTCTGTGCATTTCTCTTGGAAGCTTTGTCATGAAGAAAAGGAGTTCCATCATTGTTCATATGTCCTTATCAGACATTTTTCAAATGTTGAGTTCCGACATCTGTGTTTGCCTTAATTTTTTTCTTGTTGTATTATGTATACTAGTGTTCTAATCCATGTGTTATGTTCCTCAAGTCAAAACTTAAATGTTTCTCTTGTACCAAAATTTGGCAAGTTTTCACCAGAATTTTCTTTCTCAGAGAATCTTTGGAGTTTCATTCCACTTCAAGCAAATACAAACATCAAAATCTGTAAGCTAGGTTTTTTTTTTTTCTTGTTCCACTATTAACATCTACGTTTTATAAATACTTGCTCAGAATATCTCCACACATGTTGGCTGAAGTGCTGCAGTAGTGGGCAAACACCTAAGGGGAATAATTACTCCCTGTTGTACTGCTCCAGGACCTTTGCCTCAAGATAAGCTATTGCATTTCTGTAAGGTTTACAGTATGGGAAAAGCTGATGCAGGAAGTCTAGCACTGGTGAATGACATGGTCTTGGCCCATTGGGTGCACTGTCTAATAGTTGTGGTAAAGGCTCCATGGACTGAGGAGGGATCACTGAATGCAGAGCTTTGGTAAATGAAGCAGAATTCATTATAGCAGATGGTCTTCCATAATTTTATATTTTCCAGTATTTCTCAGTATAGGAAATCGGCTATGGTTTTAAGAAATATTTTGGATAGGTACTTTTAATGCTCATACTGAAATTGGGAGCCATTTCACTTAAACTTTTACCAGTTAGAAGCTGCGTGGATAGTCTAAACCAGCAACTTGGACCTTCTCCATTGTCAGTGAAAAGTGGTAGGATGAATCATTCTTTGATTGAGTGCATCTCTCTTCATCAGCTGTGCAAGTTGCCTAGGTGACAAACTTTAGGTAAATTCTTATAACTTAGGCCAGCCACATAAACTGCCTCTTCTCTCTCTTTGTTTTGCAAGAATATCTCTCTCCACACATGCACATGGACCCACATACTTGCATAGTGTGTCTGTGTTCCATATCCACTATCATTTATTACTTAAGAAAGCCCTTTTTGCTAGCTACAGCTGTCAACAGTTTTAGTACACAATCATTCTTAGTTTCTTTCTGTAGGAGCTAACATGAGGTGTCTTGCACGGAGTTTGGATGAGGAACAAGATCTTCAAATGTTCTGGTAGCAGATCTGCTACTACTGCAGATCTGCATAATGATGATTCTGTATTTTTAAAGGAAGATGGTGTATTTTTAAAGGGGGTGGGAGAAAACCGTAGAAACAAACCAGAAGAAAATGGAACTTCAGTGTTTTTACAATGTGCATATTAATGCTTTCTGTATTATATATATATTTCATTAGGGATCCATTTGTTTAATTGACTACAAAAAGTAATGGTTTATCTTTTGCCTCTTTAGCCTTTGTCAAGAGAATACCACTATGGCAATAACTTTGGTTATATAGTGGCTTTCAAGCCATTTGGTGAGAAAGAATGGAGAAGAGTTACAGTTACTAATCCCGAAATTGGTCGGTATGTCCACAAGGATGAATCAATGCCACCTTCAACCCAGTACCAAGTAAAAGTGAAGGCTTTTAACAACAAAGGGGATGGACCATTCAGTCTCACTGCTGTCATTTATTCAGCACAAGATGGTGAGTAAAGGTTCCAGAAAAGTTTTACACTGAGGGCTCAGATCAGCACCACCAACATCAGTAGAGAGAACCTGGTCCTTGACACTGATTAATATAGCAACACGTGTCTTCAGCAAGGAGAGTGTGTATTGCTCACACAAAACACTTGCGGTTGATCTGAATAAACAACTTCAGACTCTGCTTTCTATGCAAAGCACTTGGTTGTACTTGCTGTCAATGAGCAATACACAGAAGCATTCAAGATTCTTCAAACAGCTTGTTAAAAGGCTTCGGAATTTTAAAAAATAAATTCTGATCATATTGGTTACTTAAAACATTCACATTATTGTCTCTGTGATCTTAATACATGTATTTGACAAATGCATGTTTTTTTTTCTTCTTAACGGACCACACTAAAGCCTATTATTCTAGTAGATCATTATCAGAATTTAGTCCAAGTCTAGTTATATTTCCAACATGTTTAGAGTCTAAGATAAATTTATATTTCCAGAGTGTTTAGAGTCTAAGATAAATTATCACTGACACATTCTTTATTCTGGTTTGAAGGTTAGAGCTATCAAGTGAATAATTTAATGAAAACCTCTGACATTTCACTAAAATCTTTTCTTAATTCTTACTGGAATTATTTCATATGCTGTCATCTTTAGGATTGAAGTTTAAGTGACATTTCCAAATATAGCGGGAGAAAGTACTAGAAGAAGGTTTACCTTAAATCAGAAGAAATATATACAACATCCTAATTGCAACGTAATCACTCAAGCCTGTTTTAAAAAATGCGGTTTATTAATTTCTGACAGAAGCCCAAAGAAAAATTGCTCCTATTTTTCTTTCCATGGAGCAGAATCTCCTTCACAAAGTTAACAGATCCAGACCAAAGAGCCAAGAGGAGGGATATGATAAGGCCACATTCTCACACTTCCAACTCTCTTCTTTACTCTGTGTAGTTCATGGGAGATTTATGTTCATGATTCCCATTAGCACTAATGGGATCTTTACACACAAATCGCCCACACACAGAGAAAAGATAAAATAGTCCTTTTGTTTCTTGCGATAATTCAGGCTTGAAGCTAGCAACACTTAGCTATCTGAAAAGGTTAATACTAATCCTTTTTCTCAGAAAAGCATACCTTAGAATATCATCCTCAACAGCTGCTACAGCAACAGAACCGTTGTTTTTGCAATTCTATAAATGAGTTAGAAAATAGCTATGGTGTAATAAAAGCCATATCTGCCAAATAACAATTCAGCATCCATGCTTTCTCAGAGGCATCATTGACAGCTGACAGGTCAGCTTCCACGTGTTTATGTTAGGATTATACGAGCCATGTCAGGGATGGCAGTGTGTTTGTATAGCTCTCTGAGGTCAGAGCCATGGCAGAGCCTAGTAGCTCCAAAAGACAGAAGAAAAGCAGATGTGCAGTAGTGCCAACTTCCAGATAAAGAAGTTGCTTCAGTGGCCCCTGATGTTCTAACACAGACTTTAGCAAAGTCCAGACACTTGACAGAAGCACTTGTGGTTAAGTGATGCCAGGTACAGGCAGCAAAAGGAATAGAAGCTCAGTGAACCTACTTCTTTGCTTCGATTGCAAGCACAAGAGTCACCAAAACAGTCGGATTCACGGTGCTCCAAACCTTACCAGTAGTGCTCACAGCTCCTCTGCAGAGCTATGACTGACTACTGACCATATCAAATCCAGGAACTTCAGGGTGGGTTAGAAGGAGTTTTTCCAATGGGTGTCATGGAAGTTATTCCAAAGAACATTCTGCAGAGTGTTCTGCTGGCATCAGGACTTGTACAAAGTCACCTCAGTACCTTGTTGCGTGCTTGCTGGCTCACAGCCTTAACTTTGCATAGTTACACTTAGAAGATAATTGTGTGATGACCACTATGTTTTCAACGAAGAGAACGTATTGTGAGGCCCACTGGATTGCTTCTTTTATTGGTAGAATTACTGAATTAGAAGTCTGGAGAAAGGCAGCTGATGTCATCTTTCTGGCTCAAGAGGGACTTCAAAATATTTACAGAACATAAGTGCCAAATATGGATATAAATTATTTGGAGCTCATAAACAAGCGTAAGCAGATGAAATACTGTTTAGAGTATTGTATCAGCAAAATCCCTGGCAGTTGGAACTTTTCAATCAGAAACATTTTGGCCAATTCTGTAGTTGATACAATGGAGAAGAGTCTGACAGTGATTTGGGAATAGATTAGATGATCACATCTATGCCACCTGTACTTCTGTACCTCTGAATCAGCAAGTGATATTGCTACCGTCAGGCAACACAACTTCTTAAAGGTCTTAGTGAGATTTTAACGCGATGCGGTTGTACGATATTCTATACAGTTATGTATAAATACATATACATACATAAATATAATGACAGTATTTCCACTAAGTTGTGTATTTTGTGTGCCTAGTTATAACTGTGGGCATCTTTATTCACTTTAGTGACTGGGGAATTTCTGTGTTCCCATGTGTTTTAAGCCAAGTTCCATATCTAGTCATACCTGCCATTGCTAGTAGTGAGTAATGATTGCTAGTAATGAGTGCATAGGTCTCTTGCTTATCTAAATTCCTGTCATTGTGAAAACAATTTTGCAATAATGTATCATTTCTTAATTATACATTTGCATTATTAACAGTCATTGAAAGACAATTACAAAAGGTAACTTTGCATATAAGATTATTTTGTTACCTAGGATACTTTTCATGAGAGATGTAACTGATTTTTTTCTTAACAGTGGCTGTTTTGATGCATAGTTGACTGGATGCCCAGTTGGAAGATTAAGTATATGAAAGCTTTCCTCAGCCCAGGCTGCCATGCCTGTCTGTTGCAACTTGTTTCAAAAGACTCGCGACAGAGAACTGTTCTTAGCTTGGAAAACTTTATCTTTTATAGGCATTGCTAAGTTCGTGCCTTTTTTAATTCCTTACCTCACTTAAAATGCAAGCAACAGTGAAATTAACAACTTCTTATAATTAAACTAGAACTTAATATTCTAAGCCCTGAATAAAAACATATCACATTATAATGATCTGTATTCTGCATTGGCTGGTGTCCAGAATTAAGAACACAAACAAAATCAACTTTGTATTGTATGCCTAATAGAAGGGTGCTCTTGGATTATTTCATACCTATATTCAAGTTTATATGTGCCACTGGCCAGCTCCATGTCTAATATCTGGTCTGATAAAAACTTTGTATCATCGTGACTAAGTGACATCCACATGAATATTTGTGTGTAGCTAGCTTAAAAAATCTGCTGTCCAATTCAGTAAAAGATCACTGGATGCTTTGTTCTATTTATCAATGCCTGTTTTTAATTTATACGAATTTCAGCATGGAATCTGTTGAAGCATAAAAATACATAGTCTGAGCCAAGTAATAGAATCATTGCTTTGTTTTTATAGAGTCATTTCCCATACAGATCATCACTGAATTTAAAGTTTATTCAAGTAAAAACAGATTAAACACTAAGACACTTGGCCCCACGATACCAAGAAAATAATACAAAGTACAAGCAAGTATAACTATATCACTGGATGAGATTAGATATTTAACATGTGTTTCATCTTCCAGCTCCAACTGAAATACCTACAGATGTGAGTGTAAAAGTTTTATCATCTTCTGAAATGTCTGTTTCTTGGCACCATGTTTCTGATAAATCTGTGGAAGGATATCAGGTGAGTGTAAAGGTGACACTATATATCTTCTTGTTCATTTAATTTAAGTAGTTAAATGTAAGGATAATTCCTACTCTAGCATTCTGTCTCTTAAGGTTCACTTCTCTTTAGTTGCCATTTGCCATTTGTGCAGATTTCACATCCTGAGAAACAGATTATTTTTTGTGCTATGTACTTCATTATTAAAACATATTAACAAGTCTATGTGGTCACTATTCAGCTGAAGAAAGGCATCATTATTTCATAAAAGAATCTTGTCTCTTTACGTCACGTAATTGAATGCCTATTTCTACCTTCTCAAAACATACTGAGATTCAGTTTTGGGTGTAGTTGTCAACGTGGACATGAAACTGTAACTAAGCCGTGGCACATCTAAGTTCTCAGCAGTTACTAATATAATTCACCCACAAATCCTATAGTAAGTGGGACTGTGTGACAAATGCCCATAATCCATTGGAAGAGAGACACTGCTATTGTGCAAGATAGCAAAGTTTTGTTCGTGGCTTCTATTCTCCATGTAAAAAAGAGATTCAAGGTATGTCATGGCCCAAGACTATGTGCTACTGCCAGTAAAAATTGTTCTTGTCCTTGTGCAAAGATGACAAGAGCCACAGGGTGGGTGCAACCAGAAATGGCCACGTAGTGCTCCAGCAGGGAAGTCTTAACGTCATCCATGCACAGTGGGTGCTGATGAACTCTGCAGTGTACAGCCGGCTTACTTTGGCTGCACTCCAAAATAGGGGTTTTGGCCCTAGTTTGTAAGTAAGTGACTTGCTTTGTGATTTAAGTTGTCGGCTGCTTGATGGTAGCCTTTGTGTTCCAAAATGAGCACATACAAATGTGGAGTAACCTCGCAGAATGTATTTTTATAGCTGAAATGTATGAATAAATGTTCTTTTAATTAGTAGTACTTGTTTCTATATTTCCTGATCTCTGTTTCTGTCTCCATGAGATTCATGTAATACCTTCGGGACACCGTAATAAGATCAGAGCGAAGATCTCAATAGTACCTAGCGTAGTGTTCCATATAACGCTTGATTCTACACACAGCACGCATTAAGTTTTAAAATTACAAGCAGAGGACACTGGGGATTGAAATTAAGACGCTGACCTCAATGGCAACTCCTGATTTACTAAAGAGAAAGAACGTGGCGGGAGAACATGCCCATAGGCAGCCCAGTTGTGGCCGTTTTTTGAATTTTACTTTATTTTGCATAAAGCCATCTGAGTTGGTGTCAGGGGACATCAGGGG